GGATTTCGTAACCTTCTTCTGATTCTTCTTTTTGCTACGTTATTTTTTGTTCTTCTTCTCTGTTCCTCCTCTTCTCTCCCTTCTTCTTCTTCTTCTTCTTTTTCTCTCTCCCTTCCCTTCTCCATCTACCTACCATCATCATCTTTTTATTCTCTTCTATTCTTTCATCAACGCCCTTTTTCCGCCACTACCTTTATCCTATTCCTCCTCTCTCTTTTCCCTCTTTGTCTTCTCTCCCTCCCCCACTCCTTCCTCTCGTCTCCTCTTCCTCTTCCTCTACCATCGCCACTTCCTCGTTTCCTCCTACTACTATCTCTGCTTTTCCCTCTTCCTCCCCCTCCACAACCTCCTTCTCTCCTTCCCCCCTTCCCCTCTTCCTTCCACTTCCTTTCTTAGCTCTCTCCCTCTCCTCTCCTTCTCCCCTTCTTCTCCTCCACATCCTCATCTTCCTCGAATGTAGGCTTACGTTTTGTAATACTAGTCGTGGCTAAATAAACTGTTTCAATTTCAAGTTCAATTTCTCCTTCTCCCTTTCCCCCCCTCCCTCCCCCCTCCTCCCCCCTCCACCACCACCTCCTTTTCTACCTTCCTCTTCCTCCACCCCCCCCCTCCTCCTCCATCTATTCTTTCCTCCTTTCCCTCCCCCCATCCTTAAACCACCCTTCCTCCCCTCTCTCCCTCCTCCTCTTTCCCCCTTCCCCCACCCCACCCCCTCAACCTCCCTCCCCCCCTCTCCCTCCTCCTCTTTCCCCCTTCCCCCCCATCCCTTCAACCAACTCCTTCCCCCCCTCCTCCCCTCCACCACCTCTTCTTCCCCCTTCCCCCCCATCCTTCAACCTCCCTCCCTCCTCCTCTTTCCCCCTTTCCCTTCCCCTCCCACCCCCCATTTAATCAACCCCCCCTGCCCCCCCTCCCCCCTCCACCTCCTCTTTCCCCCTTCCCCTTCCCCCCCATCCCTTCAACCAACTCCTTCCCCCCCTCCTCCTCCATCTATTCTTTCCTCCTTTCCCTCCCCCCATCCTTAAACCACCCTTCCTCCCCTCTCTCCCTCCTCCTCTTTCCCCCTTCCCCCACCCCACCCCCTCAACCTCCCTCCCCCCCTCTCCCTCCTCCTCTTTCCCCCTTCCCCCCAGCCCTTCAACCTCC